CCCCCCCCCCCCCCCGCCTCAACCTCCCTGGGCTCTGTGGTGACAGGGCAGTAATGGCCCTCATGGAGGCAGGCCCAAAGGATGGCTGGTTCCCTCTGCCTTTCCCAGTCACATATGGTGAGGTCTTCCTTGACCCTCCCTCTCCACTTCGAGTCTCCCATCCCATCCACGTGGGCCACTGTCCCCACACACACTCTGCCCCAGCTGCCCTCATGCTACCCTGCCCTTCCTCTTGAAAAGTGAGTGGGAGGTGCTGCAGATCTTTGCAGGGGAAGCTCTTGAGGAGTCAGCTGACTGCTGGTTAATGATGTCTGTTTCTCCTTCGTTTCAGCTGTGTTGGAGTGGAAGAGGAGGAGGCCCCAGACATCGACATATACCACTGCCCAAACTGTGAGAAAACCCATGGGAAGTCCACCCGTAAGTATAGCACCATGCTGCTGCTCCTTGGATCTGACTGTGGGGGCAGGGTCTCTGCTTGGCCTTGACCCCAACTCCAACTGGACCCCACCTTGCTGGCGTGAACCGCCCTGTGTAGTTGCAGCCAGGGGACTCTGGTATCTAGGAACCACCTCCTGCCTCATTTATTGCCCCTCATGGCCTTGCTGGGCCCACTGTGGCCCCTCCTGATCCTCTCCTGCCTGCACATGCAGCTGGGGCCCCTCACGGCCTTTGCAAAGAGCCCACCAGCCTTCAAAGGCCTGGGCAGGGGTTGCAAAGTCCAGCATTTGCAGTGACCAGGCAACCTGAGATGGGTACATAGGCTGGGAGATGTCCAAGGGGCCATCCATCCCAGCTCTGCCCAGCTGGCCATCTCTCTGCAGGGGTCCAGGAATGCGCATTGTTGGGGATTTGCTCTCCTTCCCTTCTCTAGCACCCCCTGCATGGAATCTTAGGTGATCACCTTTCTCTCTCTCTCTTTTTTTTTTCCAGCATGAAAAACATTTTATTTCCTGTCATTTCTACATTATTAATAAGTAAGAGTACAGGGAGGAAAAATAATAGTTTTTTTTTTTTAATTGAAGTATACAGCCAAAGAATTTTGTATTTTTGAAATGCAAAAGAATTCCCTTTCTCAAACTGCTATTTGTGCATCACAAGGACTTTATCCTCCTCCCCTTCCATCTGGCCCTTTGGGGGTGTGGGAGGCCTAGTGGGGGCTCCCCAAGGCACAGGCTCATCCAGGGTGGCCCACATCATGGCTGGGAGGCAAGTTCTAAGGCCAGGTCTATGTGGGGGAAGTGCCATGATCTTCTGGGGCTGGACACCTGTAGCCCTTGTGGAGTGAGTCCTGTGGATCCAATGGGCATAGAGGAGGACACCAGCACAGGGTGGAAGCCCACCTCCAGCACCCCTGTTCTGTGAGTCGAGGCCAGCCAAGGGAGCCCAGCCCAGCCCCTTGGGAAGCTGGGTGAAGTGGGGTCTCATCTCTCCTTGACTTTTCTTGGGCCTCTCTTTGTGCCTGGCCTGTGCCCCATCATCACTAAGTGACCATGGGAGCTGTATTCATTTCGGCTCTTGTGCCCTACCCTCCAGCACATGTGGGCATGAGGTAAATGCATGAGAAGATGAAGAAAAAAAGGCCTGGTGGCTTCTGGACTTCCTAGGCATGAAGATTCTCAAGTTCCTAACTTACCCTCATACCCCTAGAAGTTGGCAGCACTGATGCTCACGATACAACTCCCCTAAATGACCCGATCCTTCTGGTAACTGCTTTGCAGCAGATACAGGAGGATGACTGTCACCCCGTGGCTTAACCTGAATTTCTGGAACCTCATGAACCTCCAGGAAAGCTCAGGGCCTAGGAGAAACAAACAGGGTGTGGACCCAGGTCCTGCATCTCGTGGCCCTGGGTGTGGGGTGGGGGGCTGATCAGGGCTGGGGCCGGGAGACACCCTCCTGCCATATAGAGCTGAGTGCCTGGGTAGGCGCTACCCTGGGAGGTGCTCAGGGAGGGTGGGGGGCAGGGCCACCTCTGTGAGCGCTGTTCTAGATCAGCAGACAGTGTGGGACTGGCAGCCCCTTCTTGGCTGTGTGTGTGTATGTGTGTTTTGCATGTGTGCATGCGTGTGTGCATGCATATGTGATTTGTAAATTCTGTGAACCACACTTCTTGTTGTTATTGAGGCCCGTGTGTCCATCGGGGACAAAGGCACTGGTTTTAGCATCTTCTGCCAGTGTGCACTCCTAGATTGCCCATCACCCTTTATTTTACACGTGTGTGCCCTGACCAGAGCCTGTCTGTGACACACTGGTTGGTTTTTTCTGCTTGGATTCCAGTCACACCTTCCACAGTAAGGCCCCTCGATGACCCTGTGCCCCCTGGGGGCCACCTAAGCCCATGAGCCTGCCTCCTTTCCTTGCCCTGGCCTGGGTGAGATTTGTGATGGGCACAGTGAGGTGGGAATGGCAGGGGGAGGACCAGAACAGGATAGAGTTGGGGGAATGGAGCACCATGATGGGATGGAGGCGGGGTTCCCAGGGTGAGCTTGGGCCTGAGGCTACATCCCTCTAGCTTTGCGTGTCTTACCAGATCTCAGGGTTCTCTCCCCACGCTGTTGCCACCTGTCACTTGGACTGATTTTGGTCTGTGACCCTCAGGCCCACAGGTTTACGCAATTCACAGATTTAGAGTGGGACCCAGGAGTCCCTGTGGGAACTCAGCAAGGTATCCTTACTGACACGAAGGCTCACGGGAAGCGGGTGACATGGCCCTTAAAGTGGTTCTGAATCCTGGTGTTGCCTCTTGTTAGCTCTATGACTGCTTAAGAGGTTACTTACTAATTTCTTACTTTCCTCTTCCCTGAGGCGGGTGTAGTTGTCACATCTTCCTGGTGGGGTGAACCATGCTTAGGACGGTGGGCTGGGCTCTGGAGCTGAATGCCTTAGGGACACCTCTTGCCCCCATAACCCGGGGGGCCCACTGAGACCCACCAGCTTCCTGCTGTTTCCTGGGCACCTTGTCAGAGGGTGCCTTGGGCCACCATAGGCAGGAGAAGGCTCAGCCTCTGGGCTTAGGAGGGTCATGGGACCTGGGGAGGGAGGGAGCCCACCAGCCAGGGCTGCAGAGGGGTTCAAGGGTAGCCCCATGGAGCTCAGACCCTGCCTCACAGCTTCATCTTTGGCTGTTGTCCCAGCATACCTGCTCCAGCCACAGTATCAGGCGTATTCCAGCCTCTCCACAAGGTTCTTGGAGCTGCCCAGTCCCGAGTGAGGGCCTGGGAAGCCCAGGTGGCCCAGGACTGCCACTGGCCCCTGGTCAGCATGCACTTCTCAGGCCCAGCTCCTGGCAGGCAATGGAGATGCTGCTTCTTTCTCCTGCTACCCACTGCTCCCCTGCATGTCTGCCATCGCTGGGCTGCATGCCCCCTCCAAGACTTGGTTTCCCCACATGGCTTTCTGACACAGGGCACTCCACGCTCACGAGGAGCCTGGGAAGCCAGGATTAGCATTAATGATGAAGCACAGAGATACCTAGTAACTTGCCTAGGGTCACATGACTACAAGATAGTTGGATCCCTTTGGATCTCCTGTCTGTGCCTGGTGCTGCCACCAGAAGTTCCAGCTCCAGACCTCCCTTCGTAGGATCTTGACAGATTTCCATAGTATCCACTCACACCTTGGTCTTGGAGACCAAGCATGATGTAAATATCACCTGTTGTAGGAGACAGTCTCAAGGAGCTATGACTTGATGAGACGGGGAAGGGGTGGCAGTTTGGAACAGAGGTCAGCTCAGCCACCATCCACCTAGCACCTTCCCCTTCTTGCTTTCGGCAGGTCCTACTCAGGGGCAGTTGTCAGCTCCCTTCATCCCCACAACCACCGGGATGCAGGAGGACTGCAGCCCCCACCCTGTCCCCATCTGTGAAGGACAGGCACCCTGAGGGCCCCACCAGCTCTCCCTCACCTCCAGCCTCATCTCAACCTGTTTCAAACCCTTCCAGGCAGCCCCCAGGGATGGTCTCCATGCCTGACCCATCTTCACTCACTGAGTTATCTGTGACTGCCCTGAATGGGGGCAAGGGTATCAGGGAAATAGCTTCCTTCCCTCTGGGGGCTCGAAGTCCAGTAGGGGCAAACGTTAGTGTGTATGCCTGTGCGCGTTTGTGCTTGCATGTGTGTGTGTATGTGTGTGCTAGTGTGCACGTGCCTGTCCCAGTCCAGTAGGGGCATGTGTGCTTGCGTGTGGGTGCGCATGCATGTGTATGTGTGTGTACACGTGTGTCACAGCCCAGTAGGGACAGGTGTGCATGCTCACTTGTAAAAAGTCCAAGGTGGGTGTGTCCAGTACCCTTGGAGCATGTGTGACAATAGGACAGCCTGAGGGAGTGGGCAGGGGGTGGGGAGGGCAGAGGGCACAGCAGGTGGTGCTGGCCTGCCCTGCCTGTGAGTTGTGGTCTGTCATGGCAGCAAAGGTCCCAGCAGGGAAGGACAGGGTTGGTGCTGTTTGAGGGCAAATCTGAGGGGAGGCCAGGCGGAAGGGGTCCTGAATAGTGAGCCTTAGTGGGACCTTCTCAGGCGGTGCCTCTGACGAGTTCTCAGCAGACTGAGTGCTGAGTGACATGGGGTCCCAGGAAGGCCCCAGCTTTCGGGTGCCATTGTCTGAGCTGGCAGGTCGAGAGGTGAGGTGGGGGCTGTGACTCAAGGATGTGGAGGGTGGGGGCTCCTGACCATGTGACAACTTGGGGTCCTGAGAGGCAGGGGAGGCTGGGTGGGCCAGGGCCAGGGAACCCCAAGTTCTTTGCCTCTGAGGGGTCTGAGTCTTGCGGCATTCACGGTGGCTGCCCTCCCGGCTGGGTCCCTGGAGGCAAGGGGAGGGGGCTGTGGGTGATGACCCGCCTCTTGTTCCCCCACAGTGAAAAAGAAGCGAACCTGGCACAAACATGGCCCGGGGCAGACTCCCGAAGTGAAGCCCGTGCAGAATGGCAGCCAGCTCTTCATCAAGGAGTTGCGGAGTCGGACCTTTCCCAGGTGAGCAGGTGGCAGCCTTTTCCTCTCCAGCCTGCCTGCTCCCCCCGAGGTCTGGATACGTACCCCACCACTAGGGCTCCAGGGCCATGGGTTTCCCTCTGGGGGAGCAGCACAGTCCCTGAAACTCCAGGTGCTCCCGGCATGGGGGCTGATCTCTCCCTTCTCAGCACCTCCGAGGACAGGTTATGGGGACCCTCTTCACAGCCCAGGAGGGAAGGGACCTATCTCCTCCACCTGGTATGGGCCTTCCCATGGAACCTTCCTGAGAGAGAGGCTACCGTCCCCATTTTATGGACCAGGAGTGGGGGCTGGTGTCCAGCCTGAGACCATCCTCTGGAGGTGGCAGGTCCTGGTGTCAGATGGCTGTGGGCTTTCCTCTGTGTCCATGGCCTGGTGGGGTGTCCCTAGGTCTTCTTAGAGCACACCCTCCCCCTGCGCAGCCTTGTCCTATATGAGGACTGAGGGCAGAGAGCAGGATCAGGGCCACAGGAAATGGTTTCTGGAGAGGGGGTCACCGTGACTGCATGGACGTGAGGTTGTACAGGCAGCTGCTCTGAAACACCTTGTCCCTTCACAGCTGGAAGACAGTTTCTGTTTGTCTGACAAAGTCTTTACAAAGTCTTTACTTCTTCTTCACTTTTGAAGGATAATTTGATGGACACAGAATTCTAAGTTGGTGGGTTTTTTCTTTTAACACTTTAAATGTCTCATCCCATGCTCGACTTGAGTGCATGGTTTCTGGTGAGAAATTCAGTGTACCTCTTAGCCTTGCTGCTCAGTGGATAAGGTATTTTTCCTCTCTGGCTTCTTTTTTATTTTCTTTTTTTCCACCTTTATTGAGATATAATTCATATACCATACAATCCATCCATTTAAAGGGTACAGTTCAGTGTATTCACAGCTCTGCACCACCACCAGTCAGTTTTAGAATGTTTCCATCACCTCAAAAAGAAACATGTAGCTTTATCATCCTCATTCCTCCCCACTTCTGCCCAAAGTCCTATCACCAGTCTGCTTTCTGTCACTGTAGATTTGCCTATTCTGAACATTTCATCAAAATGAAATCATATAATATGTGGCCTTTGTGACTGGCTTATTTCACCTAGCATAATGTCTTCAAGGTTCATCCAGGGTGTAGCAAGTGTCAGTGCTTCATTCCTTTTTTATGGCCGAATAATATTCTGTTGTATGGATAGATCACATTTTGTTTATCCATTCATCAGCTGATGGACATTTGGGTTATTTCTGATTTTGGGCTACTGTGAAGAATTCTACTGTAAATGTTCTTGTAAAATATTTTGTTTGGACATATATTTTCGTTTTTTTTAGGAGTAACTCAATATTTAATTGTTTGAGGAACTGCCAGACTGTTTTCTAAAATGGTTGTATCACTTTCCATTCCCACCAGCAGCGTCTGAGGGTTTCAATTCACCAGAACTTGTTATTATCTGACTTTTTTTTTTGTGGCTGCGTTGGGTCTTAGTTGCGGCACGCGGGATCTTTGTTGAGGCATGCAGGAACTTTGTTGAGGCGTGTAGGATCTTTCGTTGAGAAGCACAGGCTTCTCTCTAGTTGTGGCGTGTGGGCTTCTCTCTAGCGGGCTTTTCTCTAGTTGAGGCGTGCGAGCTCAGTAGTTGTGGTGAGCCAGCTTAGTTGCCCCACAGCATGTGGGATCTTAGTTCTCTGACCAGGGATCAAACCCTGCTTCCCCTGAGTTGGAAGGCAGATTCTTTACCAGTGGACCACCAGGGAAGTCTCTTATCTGACTTCTTGATTCTACCTATCCTTGTAGTTGTGAAGTGGTCTCTCACTGTGGTTTTAATTTGCATTTCCCTGATGACTAGTGACGTTGAGCATCTTTTCATGTTCTTGTTGGCCATTTGTCGTTTGCCCATTAAAAGTTTTTTTTTTTTTTGGTCTTTTTATTATTGAATTGTAAGAGTTCTTTATGTATTTTAGATACAAGTCCCTTACCAGATATATGATGTGCAAATACTTTCGCCACTTTTGTGGGTTGTCTTTTCACTTTCTTGGTGTCTTTTGAAGCATAAAAGTGTTTAATTTTGATTAAGTCTAATTTATTTATTTTTTCTCTTGTTGCTTGTGCTTTTGTTTTAGACAAAAACAAAAAGAAACCATTGCCAAATTCAAGGTCATGAAGATTTATGCCTGTTTTCTTCTAAAAGTTTTATAGTTTTAGCTCTTATATTTATGTCTTTAACTCATTTTGAGTTAATTTTTGTATATGGTGTGAGGTAAAGGTCCAACTTCATTCCTTTGCATGTGGATATCCAGTTCTCCCATGCACCATTTATTGAAATGCCTATTCTTTTGCCATTGAATTATCTTGGTATCCTTGATGAAAAACAATTGACCATAGATGTTTGGGTTTATTTCTGGACCCTCAATTCTGTTCCTTTGATCCATATGTCTCATATTATGCCGGTACCACACAATCTTGATTACTGTAGCTTTGTAGTGAAGTTTGAAATTGGGAAGTGCCCTCCAACTTTCTTCTTTTTAAAGACTATTTTGGTTATCTGGGTGCCTTGTATTTCATTCAGTATTCCAAGTTCAGCACGTCAGTTTCTGCAAAGTAGTCAGCTGGTATCTTGACAGGGATTGTGTGGAATCTGTAGATCAGTTTTCCATTATTTCTTGAATCCCCCTCCTTCCTTCTAGATTTTGTTTCCTCCTTGTTGAATTTTATCTGTTAGTAGTTCTTTCAGAAAAGGCCTATAAAAATATTCTCTGTGTCTGAAAATATTTTTATTTTGTCTTTATTCTTGCATGATTCTAATTTTGTAAAATGGATCTAAAATTCTAGAGTAAAAGTTATTTTCCTTGAACTTTTTAGAGATACTATTTTGTTGTCTTTTGACATTTATTGTTACTGATATCAGTCTAGCCGCTGGAGTTTTGTTTTGTTTCATTTTCATTTTTGGTAAATAATCTGTTTTTTTCTCTGAAAGCTTTTGAGATTGTTTTCTCATTTTTAATATACTATAGGTATACTGCAGTGCCTCTAATGTGCATTTGTTTTTATTTATCCTGTTCAGGACTCAGTAAGTGCCTTTAATTTGAGGTGTCATATTTTATCTCAATTCTGAAAAATGTCCTGTTTTCTCTTTTAATAGCACTTCTTCCCCATTCTGTCTTATTTTTCAGATCTTTTCATCAAATTCACTTTTTTTTTTCAGCCAGCTACCCTTTAATGTATCTACTGAGTTTTTAAAAATTTCAAATCATCATATTTTTCTTTTCTACAATTTCTATTCCTTTTTAGTGTTGCCTGTTCTTTGCTTCCTTCTCTGTTCTTTGCCTTATCCTCTCATTATCCCTTTGGATGTGTTTAATATACTTGTCTTAAAATGGCCTTTTCAATTATCCTATTATCCTCAGTTCTTGGGATCTACTCTTCTGGGCAGATGAGGCTGCTGGCTGTCCCTCCTGGGGGTTCACCTCCTTCTGTGAGGCGTGATCTTCAGAGGGCATCATTCCCATGGCAGCCAGTCTGCCCTGTTCCCTGCCCGGCCTCCTTCCATGCTGACGACTCTCCCTGAGGGATTCTGGGAACTCTGCTCTATCCCCACCATCTGTTTCCCTGGCCTCATAGATTGTCCCTTGGCCAGCGGCTCCTCAACTTCTTTCTCCAGCCACTAGTCCTTCTGAGCTCCTGACCTGTCTGTCCAACTGGTGCATCCACTGGCCAATCCCAACAAGTGTGTTCCTACTCAGCTCTGGATCTGCCCCCACCCCCATTCCTGCCCCACCTCCAGGCCTCAGTCAGTGGCCCCGGTCCCTTGGTCACTCAGGCCAGTCCCTTGGCCATTCACCTTTGCCTCCCCCTGTTCTCCCACCCCGATCTGATCTCCTGAGTCCACCACCTCCCTCTCACTGTCACCTTCTGGTCCAGGCACCGCATGCTGAGCCTCCTCCTCCATGGTTGCCCTGCCCCACCCTGGTCCTGCTGCTGTCCACTGTACACCCGCACAGCAGCCAGATGAATCTCTGACCGTCACTGCCCTTCTCAAGTTGTCCAGTGGCTCCTCAGTGCTCTTGGTATGAGGTGGCCTGGCCCACCACCTCACCGACTTGGGTGCTTGCCCCCCGCCTCCCCACCCCCAGCTGCCCAGGTCCTTCTTATTCCTCACACTTGCCACATCCTCCTCCCTCCAAGGCCTTTGCTGGTACATTCCTTCTACTCGGAGCCCTGCCCCTCTCACTCCTGCTCTCCCATGCTTCGACAGGCCCAGTCTGACACTGCTTCCTGCTGTCTCCACCACAGCACTGCTCTCAGCTGTGGGTTAATGGCCTTGCATGCTCATCTGATGAAAGCCCCTCTCCAGCGTCACCACACAGGGGTCTTTCCAGCTGGGCCCCACAGGTCTCTGGTGCCCAGGGCAGCATCTGACACACAGGGAGGCAGGAGAGCTGCTGACCACAGAATCCCAGCCCAGCCCTGGGTCCTGTGTTTGGCTTGTCCAGGGGTTAGGTTCTCTCTGAAAAGGGGTTTATCTCCATCTTCTGTGTCCTTAGAACTACCCCCATGCAGGGGTCTGATCTCTGAGCACTTGAGAGGAATATTATTGAGTGGAGGGTGTGTGGAGAGCAAGGGAGGTGGGGGAAGGATCTCGCTCACATCTCTCGAGGCTCCCTCTGCCATAGTAAGAGGGATGGGTGTGGTGTGTCCCCATTCTCTTCTCACCACGGCCCTGGACAGGTGCCCAGACCTCCTGGACCTCAAGGTTCCTGTCTGTGATGAGTGTGTGGGACCCTGTCATGTCTACCTTGTGGCTGCCCTGTGACCACTGAGTGTGGCACCGTGGCAGGTCCTTCTTCTGGGGCATGAGCGGTGTGTGCCTGGAGCTCAGGCTCCATGTTTGCAGCCCTGAGGCCCTGTCCAGGCCTATCATGGAGGCTGGGACCTGGGCTTGATGTGACCCCTGACTTGTATTTCCCTGCAGCGCGGAAGACGTGGTGGCCCGCGTGACGGGCAACCAGCTCACACTGGGCTACATGGAAGAGCATGGCTTCACCGAACCCATCCTTGTCCCCAAGAAAGATGGGCTGGGCCTGGCGGTCCCAGCCCCCACCTTCTATGTCAGCGATGTCGAGAACTACGTGGGTAAGTGCCCTCTCCTGCAAGTGAGTTGTGGGCTCCCTGAGCCAGGAGTCCCTGTATATGCTGCCTAGGCCCTGACTCTGTCCCAGAGCCATGTGAGCCAGTGTGACTCAGGATCTCCTTGTTCCATTCTGGGTGCTTTTCTTAGAATGAGACCCCATGCCCCAGCAAATGATGCGGGACCCAGGCCCCTTCCCTTCTCAGTTACTCTGCCCGCAAAATCGGGGCTTCGTGGGGACCCCTGGATTCTGCCAGCTACAGTACTGTTGGGCGCTAATGATAGTCATGCCTGGGAGGGCTCCAGCTGTGTTGTCCACAGTTCCTGATGTTCGTGCCATGTCCTCCTCAGCCTCTGCTGGGGCCAACCTGGGGGCTGACCTCCCTTGTCTGCCCTGGACACGCCGTCCCATGGCCCCAGGACTACCTCCTCTTCTGGATCCCTTTGGGTTCTAGCTGGTGCTATTGGCACCCTGTCTTGTGTTCCCTGGTAGCTCCCAGTGCTGTGGACACCCTCGGTCAGGACACCTCTGGGTGGATGAAGTGCTTGTATGTGCTGGGACATCATCTGGCACAGAGAGGCTAGCACATGCTTGCAGTGACCTTGGCAGGGCCGGTGGCCTCATGGTTGCTGGGGATTGGGGTGTTCACAGGGATGCCTGGGTGGCTAGTGAGGAGAGGGGAGAGGAAAGACCCTGAAAAGGCAAATGCCCAGGCCAGCTCTGGCCGCACACTGGGCAGGAGAGGGCACAGGTGCTGAAACCCTCAGACAAATTGTTCCATCACTGAGCTCTTGACCCTCTGCATCTGTAAGGCTCATGAATGGTGGGCAGGAGGCAGATGGGTGTGAGGATTAAATGAGATCATCTGTACAAGCCACACAGGAAGCCAGTGGCATTCCAGAGAACAGGGGGCGGGGTGGGAAACACCCCTTCTATGGAGCCGAAGCCCACCAGGGGAGGCCCCAAGGCTGGCCAGCTTGTGGCAGGGAGGAAGAAGGGACTCATGTTTTCAGTCTGGGAATGACCACAGTCCAGGACTGTTTCTGCCATGTCGTAGCACCTGTAATAACAGATAATAACTAGTGAGTGTCTACCAGGTGCCAGGCATTTTTCTAAGCTGTTTCTGCATAGGAGCTAGTGTTGTCCTGCTCACAACTCTGTCATCCATGCCCCAGGCTCAGCCAGCTGCAAAGGGCAGGGCCAGGTCTGCCGCAGTCCCTGCCTCCCCCAACCCCCCAACCAGTTGTGCTTACAGGAGTGGGAAGCAGCTTACTGAATAGGGGAGGAGACAATCCAGAGGTTTCTGTTGTAAATGTCTTTCTTTCACCTCTTAATTTTTTTATTATGCAACTTTTCACACACACACAAAATGAGAGAAATAAGCAGTGAACCCTCATGTACCCAGTACTGGTCACAAAACCCATGAGCTTTTGGCTGTTTTCCTGTCTCCCCAACTCCCTCCTCCCCCAAGTATTTGAAGGCAAGTCTCTGGTACATACATCATTTCGCCCATGAAAACTCCAGTACACAGCGCTAACAGACAGTTTAAAAAAATATATAATCACAGTTCCATCTTGCACTTTACGACACTAACAGTAATTCCTTAAAATCACCTAAGACCACCTAAATTCTCCCCAGTTGCCTCAAAAACACCTTTTTATATTTGGATGTTTGACTCTGAATCTAAACAAGACCACACACTACATTTGGGTTTGATGTCCCTTCAGTCTCTTCTGTAACAGCCCCCATCCCCTTTCCATTCCCTTGGTTTGTTGGAGAAATGGGGTTGTTAGTCCTGGAGAATCTTGTTTTTTTTTATTGTTTGAATTTTATTTTATTTATTTTTTTATACAGCAGGTTCTTACTAGTTATCCATTTAATGCATATTAGTGTATATATGTCAATCCCAATCTCCCAATTCATACCACCACACCCCCCGCCCCCACTCTGCAACTTTCCCCCCTTGGTGTCCATATGTTTTGTTCTCTACATCTTTGTCTCCATTTCTGCCCTGCAAACCAGTTCATCTATACCATTTTTCTAGGTTCCACATATATGCGTTAATATACAATATTTGTTTTTCTCTTTCTGACTTACTTCACTCTATATGACAGTCTCTAGATCCATCCACGTCTCTACAAATGACCCAATTTTGTTCCTTTTTATGGCTGAGTAATATTCCATTGTGTATTATGTACCACATCTTCCTTATCCATTCATCTGTCAATGGGCATTTAGGTTGCTTCCATGACCTGGCTATTGTAAATAGTGCTGCAATGAACATTGGGGTGCATTTGTCTTTTTGAATTATGGTTTTCTCTGGGCATATGCCAAGTAGTGGGATTACTGCGTCATATGGTAATTCTATTTTTAGTTTCTTAAGGAACCTCCATACTGTTCTCCATAGTGGCTGTATCAATTTACATTCCCACCAACAGTGCAAGAGGGTTCCCTATTCTCCACACCCTCTCCAGCAGTTTTTGTTTGTAGATTTTCTGCTGATGCCCATTCTAACTGGTGTGAGGTGATACCTCATTGTAGTTTTGATTTGCATTTCTTTCATGATTAGTGATGTTGAGCATCTTTTCATGTGCTTCTTGGCCATCTGTATGTCTTCTTTGGAGAAATGTCTACTTAGTTCATCTGCCCATTTTTGGATTGGGTTGTTTGTTTTTTTAGTATTGAGCTGTGTGATCTGTTTATATATTTTGGAGATTAATCCTTTGTCCATTGATTCGTTTGCAAATATTTTCTCCCATTTTGAGGGTTGTCTTTTCGTCTTGTTTGTAGTTTCCTCTGCTTTGCAAAAGCTTTTAAGTTTCATTAGGTCCCATTTGTTTATTTTTGTTTTTATTTCCATCACTCTAGGAGGTGGGTCAAAAATGATCTTGCTGTAATTTTTGTCAAAGAGTGTTCTTCCTATGTTTTCCTCTAAGGGTTTTATAGTGTCCAGTCTTACATTTCGGTCTCTAATCCATTTTGAGTTTATTTTTGTGTATGGTGTTAGGGAGTGTTCTAATTTCATTCTTTTACATGTAGCTGTCTGGTTTTCCCAGCATCACTTATTGAAGAGACTGTCTTTTCTCCATTTTATATCCTTGCCTCCTTTGTCATAGATTAGTTGACCATAGGTGCGTGGGTTTATCTCTGGGCTTTCTATCCTGTTCCATTGATCTATATTTCTGTTCTTGTGCCACTACCATATTGTCTTGATTGCTGTAGCTTTGTAAGATAATCTGAAGTCAGGGAGTCTGATTCCTCCAGCTCCGTTTTTTTCCGCTCAAGACTGCTTTGGCTATTTGGGGTCTTTTGTGTCTCCATACAAATTTTAAGATTTTTTGTTCAAGTTCTATAAAAAATGCCATTGGTAATTTGATAGGGATTGCACTGAAGCTGTAGATTGCTTTGGGTAGTATAGTCATTTTCACAATATTGATTCTTCCAATCCAAGAACATGGTATATCTCTCCATCTGTTTTTATCATCTTTAATTTCTTTCATCAGTGTCTTATAGTTTTCTGCATACAGGTCTTTTGTCTCCTTAGGTAGGTTTATTCCTAGGTATTTTATTCTTTTTTTTTGCAATGCTAAATGGCAGTGTTTCCTTAATTTCTCTTTCAGATTTTTCATCATTAGTGTATAGGAATGCAAGCGATTTCTGTGCATTAATTTTGTATCCTGCTATTTTACCAAATTCATTGATTAGCTCTAGTAGTTTTCTGGTGGCATCTTTAGGATTCTCTATGTACAGTATCATGTCATCTGCAATCAGTGACAGTTTTACTTCTTCTTTTCCAATTTGTATTCCTTTTATTTCTTTTTCTTTGATTTCTGTGGCTAGGACTTCCAAAACTATGTTGAATAATAGTGGTGAGAGTGGACATCCTTGTCTTGTTCCTGATCTTAGAGGAAATGCTTTCAGTTTTTCACCATTGAGAATGATGTTTGCTGTGGGTTTGTCATATATGGCCTTTATTATGTTGAGGTAGGTTCCCTCTATGCCCACTTTCTGGAGAGTTTTTATCATAAATGGGTGTTGAATTTTGTCAAAAGCTTTTTCTGCATCTATTGAGATGATCATATGGTTTTTCTCCTTCAATTTGTTAATATGGTGAATCACATTGATAGATTTGCATATATTGAAGAATCCTTGCATTCCTGGAATAAACCCCACTTGATCATGGTGTATGATCCTTTTAATGTGCTGTTGGATTCTGTTTGCTAGTATTTTGTTGAGGATTTTTGCATCTATATTCATCAGTGATATTGGTCTGTAATTTTCTTTTTTTTGTAGTATCTTTGTCTGGTTTTGGTACCAGGGTGATGGTGGCCTCATAGAATGAGTTTGGGAGTGTTCCTTCCTCTACAATTTTTTGGAAGAGTTGGAGAAGGATGGGTGTTAGCTCTTCTGTAAATCTTTGGTAGAATTCACCTGTGAAGCCATCTGGTCCTGGACTTTTGTTTGTTGGATCACAGTTTCAATTTCATTATTTGTGATTGGTCTATTCATATTTTCTATTTCTTCCTGGTTCAGTCTTGGAAGGTTTTACCTTTCTAAGAATTTGTCCATTTCTTCCAGGTTGTCCATTTTATTGGCATAGAGTTGCTTGTAGTAGTCCCTTAGGATACTTTGTATTTCTGCAGTGTCTGTTGTAACTTCTTTTTCCTTTCTAATTTTATTGATTTGAGTCATCTTGCTCTTTTTCTTGATGAGTCTGGCTAATGGTTTATCAATTATGTTTACCTTTTCAAAGAACCAGCTTTTAGTTTTATTTATCTTTTCTATTGTTTTCTTTTTTCTATTTCATTTATTTCTGCTGTGATCTTTATGATTTCTTTCCTTCTACTAACTTTGGGTTTTGTTTGTTCTTCTTTCTCTGGTTCCTTTAGGTGTAAGGTTAGATTGTTTATTTGAGATTTTCTTTGTTTCTTGAGGTAGGCCTGTATAGCTATAAACTTCCCTCTTAGAACTGCTTTTGCTGCATCCCATAGGTTTCGGATCATCGTGTTTTCATTGTCATTTATTTCTAGGTATTTTCTGATTTCCTCTTTGATTTCTTCAGTGATCTCTTGGTTATTTAGTAACATATTGTTTAGCCTCCTCGTTTTTGTGTTTTTTACTTTTTTTTCCCCTGTAATTGATTTCTAATCTCATAGTGCTGTGGTCAGAAAAGATGCTGGATATGATTTCAATTTTCTTAAATTTACTGAGGCTTGATTTGTGACACAAGATGTGATCTATCCTGGAGAATATGCACTTGAGAAGAAAGTGCACTTCAGAAGAAAGTGTAATCTGCTGTTTTCAGATGGGATGTCCTATAAATATCAATTAAATCTATCTGGTCTATTGTGTCATTTAAAGCTTGTGTTTCCTTATTAATTTTCTGTTTGGATGATCTGTCCATTGGTGTAAGTGAGGTGTTAAAATTCCCCACTATTATTGTGTTGCTGTTGATTTCCTCTTTTATAGCTGTTAGCAGTTGCTTTATGTATTGAGGTGCTCCTATGTTGGGTGCATATATATTTATAATTGTTATATCTTCTTCTTGGATTGATCCCTTGATCATTATGTAGTGTCCTTCTTTGTCTCTTGTAATAGTCTTTATTTTAAATTCCATTTTATCTGATAGGAGTATTGCTACTCCAGCTTTCTTTTGATTTCCATTTGTATGGAATATCTTTTTCCATCCCCTCACTTTCAGTCTGTATGTATCCCTAGGTCTGAAGTGTGTCTCTTGTAGACAGCATATATATGGGTCTTGTTTTTGTATCCATTCAGCGTGCCTCTGTCTTTTGGTTGGAGCATTTAATCCATTCACGTTTAAGGTAATTATCGGTATGTATGTTCCTATTACCATTTTCTTAATTTTTATGGGTTTGTTTTTGTAGGTCCTTTTCTTCTTTTGTGTTTCCCACTTAGAAAAGTTCCTTTACCATTTGTTGTAGAGCTGGTTTGGTGGTGCTGAATTCTCTTAGCTTTTGCTTGTCTGTAAAGCTTTTGATTTCTCCATCAAATCTGAATGAGATACTTGCTGGGTAGAGTAATCTTGGTTGTAAGTTCTTCCCTTTCATCACTTTAAATATATCATGCCACTCCCTTCTGGCTTGTAGAGTTTCTGCTGAGAAATCAGCTGTGAAACTTATGGGAGTTCCCTTGTATGTTATTTGTCATTTTTCCCTTGTTGCTTTCAAAATTTTTTCTTTTTCTTTAATTTTTGTCAATATGATTACTATGTGTCCCGGTGAGTTTCTCTTTGGGTTTACCCTGCCCGGGACTCTCTATGCTTCCTGGACTTGAATGGCTATTTCCTTTCCATAGGCTATTTCCTATGTTAGGGAAGTTTTCGACTATAATCACTTCCAACATTTTCTCAGGTCCTTTCTCTCTCTCTTCTCCTTCTGGGACTGCTATAATTGTTCTGTAAATCTTTGGTAGAATTCACCTGTGAAGCCATCTGGTCCTGGACTTTTGTTTGTTGGATCACAGTTTCAATTTCATTATTTGTGATTGGTCTATTCATATTTTCTATTTCTTCCTGGTTCAGTCTTGGAAGGTTTTACCTTTCTAAGAATTTGTCCATTTCTTCCAGGTTGTCCATTTTATTGGCATAGAGTTGCTTGTAGTAGTCCCTTAGGATACTTTGTATTTCTGCAGTGTCTGTTGTAACTTCTTTTTCCTTTCTAATTTTATTGATTTGAGTCATCTTGCTCTTTTTCTTGATGAGTCTGGCTAATGGTTTATCAATTATGTTTACCTTTTCAAAGAACCAGCTTTTAGTTTTATTTATCTTTTCTATTGTTTTCTTTTTCTTTTTCTGGAAGGTTGCCTATCTCCACTTCATTTAGTTGTTTTTCTGGGTTTTTATCTTGTTTCTTCATCTGATACATTGTCCTCTGTCTTGTCATCTTGTCTGTCTTTCTGTGACTGTGGTTTTTGTTCCACAGGATGCAGGATTGTAGTTCTTGTTGCTTCTATTGTCTGCCCTCTGGTGGATGAGTCTATCTAAGAGGCTTGTGCAAGTTTCTTGATGGAAGGGACTGGTGGTGGGTAGAGCTGGGTGTTGCTCTGGTGGGCAGAGCTCAGTAAAACTTTAATCCACTTGTCTGCTGATGGATGGGTCTGGGTTCCCTCCCTGTTGGTTGTTTGACCTGAGGCGACCCAACACTGGAGCCTACCTGGGCTCTTTGGTGGGGCTATTGGCGGACTCTGGGAGGGCTCACGCCAAGAAGTCCTTCCCAGAACTTCTGCTGCCAGTGTGCTTGTCCTCATGGTGAGTCACATCCACCTCCCGCCTCTGCAGGAGACCCTCCAACACTAGCAGGTAGGTCTGGTTCAGTCTCGAATGGGGTCACTTCTCCTTCCCCTGGGTCCCGATGCACACTGTACTTTGTGTGCACCCTCCAAGAGTGGAGTCTCTGTTTCCCCCAGTCCTGCTGAAGTCCTGCAGTCAAATCCTGGTAGTCTTCAAAGTCTGATTCTCTAGGAATTCCTCCTCCCATTGCCGGACCCCCAGGTTCAGAAGCCTGACATGGGGCTCAGAACCTTCACTCCAGTGCGTGGACTTCTGTGGTATGAGTGTTCTCCAGTTTGTGAGTCACCCACCCAGCAGTTATGGGATTTGATTTTATTGTGATAGCACCCCTCCTACCCTCTCATTGTGGCTTCTCCTTTGTCTTTGGATGTGGGGTATCTTTTTTGGTGAGTTCCAGTGGCTTCCTATCAATGATTATTCAGCAGTTAGTTGTGATCCCGGTGCTCTTGTAAGAGGGAGTAAGCGCATGTCCTTCTACTCCGCTATCTTGAACCAATCTCTCTGGAGAATCTTTCATATTTGCAATTTGGGAAGAGCTTACATTAGGGATTTGGCTGACAGCTTCCCTGTGGTGTCATTTAACGTGTTCTTCTGTCCCTAATAGCTCCTGTAACAGGTGGTTAGAGGTTGCTTAGATTTGTGTTCAAGTTGCTGGCAGGACTCCTTCTTGGGGTAGGGGTGCTGCAACTCACTTCTTTTCAGTGGTCAAGGCAGTGCAGTCTCACCTGTTCACAGAATGCTCCATCAGCCTTTCAGCTCACTGTCTGAGCAGCCGGTGAGGACTGTTGCAAAGGAAGAGTTTGCTAATTCTGTCCTTCTCTCTCCATCTATTGTGAGTCTTCTGTAAAGAACTTTCGCTTATTAGTTACTTGGTTATCTATTTCTGTCATCAACAATTTTTATCCTGAACTTTTCCCATCAAGTATAGAAAATGTAGGATAGATGTTTTTCCTTTTATTTTCAATTTTCAGAATAATGAGTTGGTGTCCTAGAAATGCAAGAATGTTTTTGATTAAAAAAATTTTTAAGTATAAGTATTTCCATGCATTATTTGGGAAATATTTGCACTAAAAACATATTCATTGTTTATCTGAAGTGTAAGTTTTTACCTGGTGTCCTGTATTTTTATTTGCTTATCTGGCCACCTTAGCTGAGGCTCATTACTGTGCCACCTCACTGTACCAGGGGGTCTTCATGGCCACCCAAGGGAAGGAGCAGGCAGGGCAGGTGGGGGGAGGGTCAGACGTTAGAGCCTAGAGCCTCAGCATTCAGCCCTCCCTCAGTTGTCTTCTGAGGGTGAGTGAGCATTTCCTCTGCACATCCTGGCCCCCGACCTCACGGAAGGCCGCACCATCTTCCCTGGGTGTGCTCACCCTCCCCAGGCCCAGAGCGGAGTGTGGATGTGACAGATGTCACCAAGCAGAAGGACTGCAAGATGAAACTGAAGGAGTTTGTGGACTATTACTACAGCACCAACCGCAAGCGGGTCCTTAACCTTACCAACCTTGAGTTCTCTGACACCAGGTGAGTGGGGCCAGGGTGGAGGGATGGAGAGGGATACTAGTTTGGAACATGCTGGAGATTTAAGCCTGTGACTGAGGCTGTTGAGGTCAGGGTGTCCTGGCTTATGATTTGTGAATGTCTTGTCTGAGCAGGCATGGCCTTGAAGGTAGAGATGTGGCCAAGGCAGCAAGAACACTGAGACCCGGTTCTTGGCTTGGCTGACGTGTCACTGCACAGGTGCTGCTGAGCTGGATGTTTTTGATGCAGTATTGTGCATTCTATCCAGGACAGTGACATTTAATAGAATCAAAGGCTGCCTTTGCCTTTTCTCATCTTCCCTGGAGATGAGTTATCTGGTCTGACATGGCCCAGCACGGCAAGGAGTTGCAGGCACCCCTGTTGTCTGCTCTGGAGAGAAGTGGCTTTTCCTTAGGTGTTGACAGGAAGCGCCTGGGCTGTGCATGAGCAATGATATTTACTCTCAGGGCCCCATCGTGCCCAGTGACACTAGCATGAGCCCACCTGACAAGTCTCTTTCCAGTTCTCCAGGAAGGAAGTTGTTTCTGGGGTAGATCGTTCTCAGGCCTTCTCCATGCCTGTCTTTGGGTGAGAGCTCAGTGTTGGATGCCTGCTGCAGCCACACCCAGCAGCTGGGGTCATTCTGCCCTCTGTGAACCTCAGTTTGCTCATCTGTAGAATGGGAGCAATGCCATGTAGCCCGAGGTAGAGAAATAGGCATGGGACACACATCTCAGAGCACCTTTCCCATCCTGCCCAGCGGGCAAAACAAATGTGCTGATGGTTCCCATCACTGCTGACTGTTCCTCTCCCTGCCCCCAGAATGTCCAGCTTTGTGGAGCCTCCTGACATCGTAAAGAAACTGTCCTGGGTAGAAAACTACTGGCCTGATGACGCACTGTTGGCCAAGCCCAAGGTGACCAAGTACTGCCTGATCTGTGTGAAGGACAGCTACACTGACTTTCACATCGACTCCGGGGGTGCCTCTGCATGGTACCACGTGCTCAAGGTGAGCGCTGGCCTCTGCTCCCCATGTGGGCCCTACGTGGGCCTCAGGGGCAAGACCTGCTCTTGCCCAGGCCACTGTCCACCTGCAGGACTGTTTGTAGTCCCCACAGGCCCTAACAGTGGCCAGCATCAGGTGGGATGAGGGACAAGGTGTTTCTCCACAGAAGGGACACAGATGTTGGGCCCTTGGGAGGCATGGGGGTTGGGGGGAGCACCTCAGGACCAGAGCAGCACATGTATGTTGCCTTTTCTAAAGATTGCGGCTCATGAAGCAATTGGAGGAGGCCCACTGCAGTGGTGACCAAGGGCTCATGTCCAGGGAAGGGAGAGCTGTGCTGGGAAGACTTCCTGGCAGAAGGGATGAGGGAACATGCCCCACTGGGAGGATGAGCGGGTGGGCTGGGGCCTGGGGAACAAGGCTGCAGTGGCATCTGAGTGGCAGAGAGAGCTAGGGGACTTCTGGCTGGGGACAGGTAGGGAAGCTAGGGGAAAAGGGAGATGTGAAAAAAAAAACAAAAAAGGAGAACCTAAGCCTTGGGTTCACCACCTGGCCCCAGGTCTCCCCAGACCTGCTAGAGCCCAGGCTAGGGTAGGCAGCTCAGCTTCTGATCCTAGCCCTTCGAGGCCCTGAGCAAGTCCTGCCCCCGCCCCACGTGCATCCCCACCCTCAGCCTGTGTGCCTCGTGAGTGAGGACCTCTGTATCTCCCTAGTCCAAGTGCAGGGCTGGACTGGTGCTGGTGCTGGCAGCAGGGCCGTCCTTCCATCTCCAGCTGGGACCCAAGCCACTCTCAAGAGCAGAGCTTTCTTGTAACTCGTCAGACAGCAGGTCACAACGTTGTTCCCCTTGGCAGATAGGCATCCATAGTGCTGCAGAGATATGGTGTGTGGAGTGGTAGGGGTTGCCCTGAACACGCCGGAGGCGCCAGTGCCTAGAGTCTTCCTAACACGCAGACATCTGAATTGCAAAGCACATGTGGTCCCAGTGTTTCAGGGGAGGAATGATGGGCCTGGGCAGGATGCTGTTGAAGCTAGGACCCATCCCCAGGACATGGTGGGCTCCGTCCCCTCTCAGCATCCCCAGGACATGATGGGCACTGCCCACCCCCAGCATCCCCAGCATATGACAGGCTCCACCAATGGCCTCTTGTTGGCAGGGGGAGAAGATCTTCTATCTCATCAAGCCAGCTTCGGCCAACATCTCCCTGTATGAGCGCTGGCAGTCGGCCTCAAACCACAGTGAGATGTTCTTTGCTGACCAGGTGGACAAATGCTACAAGTGCACCCTCAAGCAGGGCCAGACGCTC